AGAGTTTATATTAGCTTTTGGGCGCGAAATGTAGTGGGGAGGGACCATTAGGTGGATGTGACTGGGTGGAGAACTGCACCGATGCAGGAGCCGGAAAGTTGTTTCTAAGTCAGGAGGCTTCTCTAAAGGGAAGGGGGGGCGGGGAGGAGGTGGGCGGTGCCATTTTGTTCTCCGGCTTGTCGAAAGTGGCGCTGGTTATGTTGCAGATCTATTAATTTCACTAAAGGTCATTGTGTTCCTCAGACTCTCCTTTCTTCCCTCTGACCCATAAGTTTTATAAATTATATCCTTTGTTAAAGACACAAAATGAAATCTCAATTTGAAAGGATTTGCATGTGTAGTTTTTAGGAAGGGAATAATATTAATATTATTACTGTTTATTTCTATAAGTGCACAGCATTTATGCTCAATTTCTGCTCTCTTCCATTCACACAGCAGATGTTTTCTGAGTGTGACGTTTCCCTGTGCCAGGTGTGTGCAGGTGTGTGTGGGGCACAGGTGCTGGGGTGAGAGTGTCCTGAAGATCCATCTGGTTACCTGGCTTAAGTGGGCAGAACCCGCAGTGGAACCTTGTGGGAAGCAGCAAGCACCCAGGAGGGCTTGAGTGGCAAGTGCCTCCCCTGGAAAGGCTATTGCTGGGGCCACAGAACTTTCTTTTCTCCTTATGCCTTCTCACTCAGCTTCTGGCTCTGGAATCCTCGGCTGTAGTCTCCATCTCCTTGGAGTGCCCCTCAAAGGCTTCCTAGCTCCAGAGCAGGGCCTTCTGTAGTCTGGACTCACTCACCAAGTCCAAGCCAAGCAAGGAGGGCCTCGAAGACCACCCTGTGCCTTAGCCTCAGTGGGCCTTACCTTCTGAAATTCCATCCAGCCATCTGTGTTGGAGCCTGCCTGAAGGCTGGTCTTATTTGCCCCAGCCTGCAGCCAGAACATCAAGGCCATACCTGTCAATCTTTGCAGGGCTTTTCAAAATATGGATTTTTTTTTTTTAATGGGCTCTCAGGTGTCATTCTCTTCTTATTGTTTGGATTTCTGAGAACCCATCTTCCCTACCCGAGTTTTGAATGAATTGAGAAATAAGGCAAAATAGTGGCAGATGGAGGCCAAAGAATAACTTTTATTTCTGCAAAGTGAGAGGCTGGAAATCTTGTCTCAGTGCGAGAGCCAAATAACCCTGGGGTTCAGTCAGCCAAGTTATCAGGCTCACTCCCATCAGAGGGGGAAGGGGCTGAACCACGGGCCGTGTGTTCTCCCAGATTTAGCAGTGGACTGAGAGCCAAATAACCCTGGGGTTCAGTCAGCCAAGTTATCAGGCTCACCCCCATCAGAGGGGGAAGGGGCTGAACCACGGGCCGTGTGTTCTCCCAGATTTAGCAGTGGACGAGTCACTTCCTTGGGCGAGCATTTCTAGGGATAGAGATGGAAAGGGAGAGGTTCCAGCTGAGTTCTCTCCACTTGGAAGCAGATTCCAGTATGGGAGGTGTTGTCTCCCCCTCCCTTGGTGTGTTGTCTGCGTGTGCATTAAGTCTCTGGTCAGCGGGGGGCATGGCCTCCCTTGGTACAGACGAGGCCCACAACCCAGGACAAACCAGCCCCTAGAGAAAGCCCTGCTCCTTTGTGTATTCTTCCGGGACAACAGGGTTGGATGTGGAATGGCTGCTCTGTACCCAGGGCTGCAAAACCACTCTGTAGTTTATTTCTCATCCCCAGTTCTATCCAGCTAAATTCTTCAACCTGGCTCATTGGAAATCCCTCCATGAGGTTAAATTACAGTATGTAAACTTCCAACAACACAGTATGTCCCCAAATTTGAATATAAATCTTCCGCTCTCCAGTCTCCAAGGAGAAATTGTCTTAAAGACTAACCATTGCCAGTTCAGGTCCACAGTTGATGACATTCAAAGGAGTTAAAATCCAGAACCAAAATTTCTTAGTCCCGTTAAAGTTCAAATACATTAAAACTCCCGGTTTGTCTTTAACTTCTGCTGCTGCTCTGTCTCAGCTAGAGGGGCACTTGTGGTCTCGCTGGGACGAGTGCAGCTCCTTCAGGGCCCAGAAGTCCTGTCCATCAAACGCTGAGTCTGCGACAGCCCTTGCTTCTTGATAGTTCAAACTTGAGGAGGACCCACAAGCTTATCACAGCATCAGCTTGCTAAATCCAGAATACAGATCCTCTCCAGACCCTGGGGCAGTCATCGTTGGTGACATTGTGTTTTGAGAGCCTGTCCTTTGTGACCCATAATCACGGGAGTGCCTTGGTGTCATCCCAAGTGAAGTTGGTGAACAGAGCTCTTCCTGGGTTTGCTCTCGCACAGATGGGGGAGTTTGGAATCCAGAGCCCATCACTAGAAACCCTCCTGGGAGAAATCTCCCAGCACGAGGGTAGGTTTTACTCTGTTCATTTTCCATTTCTGGGGAAAAAAATCTCAAAGCCTTGCAAGCATTTTTAGTTCTGTTCCACAGTGGCTCCTAATCCTGCTCTTATTAGGAAATGGCGTGTGTGCTTGCGTGTGTGTGCATGCGTGCGTGCGCCTGCATGCATGTGTGAGAGAGAGAAACCAACATGTGGAAGTGTTGATTGTGCCAGGTATAGTCATGGACTCTTCACATTTTACTTTGGCCAGAGACTGCTGCTGGCCTGAAGACTGCCCTCCCAGCCCCATGTTTGTCTCACCTGCAAAGTCCCCTTCTGAATCCTGGAGCTAGTACCTGGGCCATATACTCTGTTGTTCCTCCTCTCCACTTGGACTTCATAAACTCTCTGGGCATGTCCTCTCAAAGCACCTCCAGGAACGCTATTCTCTGTGTGTTTTCCAGTCCTGAGCCTCTTGGTAAGGAACATCGGGTCCAGGTGAATCCCTCCACATCCTCTCAGCTCTGAATGTGATGCCCATGCTCACCTGCCCCTGGCCCCTCCCTCATGCCCGCTGGTGCCTGCAGACACCTGCTGCTCCCAGGCATGCAGGGAGCAGGCTTGCCCAGGTGCAGGCTCATTTTGATGGCTCCTGATTCTCCTTTTTTTAGAAAAGTTGCTTAGTGGGTCTGAGGGTCCCCAATAAAGAATATCTTATAAATCTCCTGTATTAGTTTTTTTATTGCTGCCATAACAAATTACCATAGACTTAGTGGCTTAAAGCAACACGGATTTATTATTTCAGTTCTGAAGGTCAGAAGTCTGATATGGGTCTCACTGGGATAAAATCCAGGTGTGGGCAATGCTGGTTCCTTCTGTAGGCTCCAGGGGAGAATCCATTCCTTGCCTTGTCCAGCCTCTGGAGGCCACCTGTGTCCTGTGGCTCATGGCCCTTTCCTCCATCCTCAAAGCCAGCAATGGTGGGTTGAATCCTTCTCACTTGGCACTGCTCTGCCTCTGCTTCCCTGCCTCCACCTTCCACTTTTATGGACCCTGTGGTGACATTGAGTCCACCCAGATAATCCAGGATAATTTCCCTAACTTGGTCAGTTGATTAGCACCCTTAATTCCCCTTTGCCATGTAAGGTGACATGTTCACAGGTTTCACAGAGGGGATGTGGGCATCTTTGGGGGTGGTTGTTATTCTTCCTTCCACACTTGCCATCGGCGAGTATGCATTAAATCTGTTACGGCATGAGTCCAGTTAAACCCTCATTCTGAAAATGACCTGTGAGCCCTGGCCGAGGCTCTGAGGGCGGTCTTTGGGAGTGCCCTTCTCTTCCAGGCTGGAGCTGATTCCACGTGTCCCTCCCATGGGATTGGGAGGCTGTTAGCATTCCTTTCTGGCTGAGTCCCCTGGCTGCTTGTCTGTGCTACTTTAGGTGGTGACAGTAGTAGTAATAGAACCTGTCATTTCCTGAGTGCTCATGTGTCTTGAAACCAAACTCTTCCTTATTTCACTTACATTATTTCCTTGAAACTTCAGAGCAGTCCTAGAAGGCAGTGTTATTATTCTCATTTTATAGATGATGAAACTGAAGCCTAGGGAGGTTATGTTACTTACCAAGGTCACACAGCTCCTAAGTAATAGAGTGGTGTCACGTTCCAGGTCTGTCTGTCTAAAACTGCTCCCCAACCCAGTGTGCTACTCAGACTTTCCTACTGTAGTTTAGTTTCACCCAATTATATTTCTGAGAGTAAAGTCACATGCTCACTTTCTTTCCTCATGCATAGAAGTTGTCGTCAGCACTGGTATCGTTTGCACTGTCAGCACCAGGCGCTTCACTGTTCCCCACTAGCTCCCCTGGCACTGTCGAGTTCTGGTGGCCCAGGTGGCTTGTGAGGTGGTCAGTTCCAGCAGACAGTTCTGCTCAATGAACTGCACACGTGAATGCCCATTGGTTCAATTTAAATGTAAATATCTTACATTTACATGTGGAAATATACCATTAAATATTTCCTGAGCCGAGTGCCATCCTCTGACATCGGGAAATGTCCAGCTTTAGCTTCTCACATGAGACTTGATGGCGCAGCACATTGGCGGTGTCACACGGTGTACGTACCCTTACTTTTCAAGATAAGCTCTATTGGTTTGTGAGTTTGTTCTACGATGAAACGGTTCACCTTTGTTTGACTGCCTTGTGCCCTCTGGCAAGTGCGCTTAGTCTTATGTGTGTACGACACACCGTATATAAAACTTATCAGTTTGTGAGTTTGTTCTACGATGGAATGGTTCACCTTTGTCCCAACTGCCTTGTCCCCTCTGGCATGCATGCTTCTGTCTTATGTGCATATGACACATGGTATTATTTCTTCCCTAGGACAATTACACCTTTGCCCAGCCTGGGATTCAGATGAAGGTGAAGATATTAGAAGAGCTTGTGAGCCGGATTGATGGTAAGCCAGCTTTCTGCACAGACCGGCGATCTGAGGGTGGGGGAGAAGGGGGGTGAAAGGCTCAGGAGGTGCCTCCCAGCCCTCAGCGTGACAGGACACCATCCTTCTTTAGCTGGGGCACCTTGGCCTGCTCAGGATCACTCCTGCGCATCCTTTGAGGCAGCCGCTGGAGGACTAGCTGCTCCCATTCCTTTTATTAAGGCGATATAATCAGAATTCAGGGTGTTCGCTTTTGCAGGAAGGTAATGAGTGTGTACCAGAAGCAGGCGGCACTCACCTCTTATTAAGCTGGTGATTGTCATAATCTGGGCAACAGTGGTTGTTGATGGCTGTCCTTTGGCACTCTGTTCCCTAACTTTGTGCATCATTTTTCTATCAAGGATGCTAGAATAATTTCTCCATGGAATCCAATTAATTACCAAGTCTAGAAATAACATCTTTAATATTATAGAAAAATTATAGTGTGTGCTTGGGCAATTTTAGATTATGCTTTCATGTTTAAGTGGGGGCTTTGAAATACTTTTTACCTTCATCCCTAAAATAATTCCCCCTATGATGTGCTGACTGTCATACTGCAAAAGCAGAGTTTAATTAAATGAAAGACGAGAGATAATGCTTGCCCATTCCAGACGTATCCTCCTGGTAGTTTGTTAAATTAACGAACAGAGCATTAACAGAGTGGTGCCAAGCAGAGCCAGGCGCGCGTGTGATCCCAGCCGAGCAGCGATGAGGCGTGGAAGAGAGACCTGCGTGTTCATAAAGAGTCCCACGTGAGCTCGGCAAGTTATTTCACAGAATGTGCAGAGAAATTGTACTTCTTAAAAGCACGTAGACAGGGCAGTGTGCCTCCCAGTGCCCCACCTTATGAGTACCTGCAGGTTCCTGCACCTCTCCTCTTGCCGAGCCTTCAGCTGTGGAAAACTGTAGCAGCAGTCTCACAGGAAAGGCTTGGTTTGGGAACTACTGAACGACACTATAAAAGGGAGTTGTGCAAATTATAAACTCCATTTTGTTCCTTGATTGAATCTGATTTTCAACTCTGTGTCTAATGGTTATTACTTAATTTCCATATTACGAAGTTTTACACAGTTCTTCCAATAATACTTTATTTGATTCGGTATTACATTTAGCTACTTTTCAACCTACTTATTCAAAACACTGTTTTTTCCTTCAGTGAGTGCATTTATGCACATTTATTGTACACTGCACAGCGAGTTCTTGCTTGGATATCATTGGATTTTTTTCCCTCCAGCAATTTCACAAGTGTTCCCCAGTCTCATTTGGTTCTTTGAAATATGGTTTGCAGTAGATGTGAATTACACTTTCTTAGCAGGTTCTTCTTTTCCTCTTGTGTCCCTTAGAAGGTGTATTTTATATTTTCTTGGAGGTTAGAAAGTGTGGTTAGTGCTCATTTGTTCTAGTGCTGCAGTTTGGGAAGTACTTGAATTGATTTTCTTGGGTGTTGTGGTTTAGAAAGAAGCACATTGCAGATTTGCTGGATGATTGTTTAAACGAGCAGCAACAACAGCCAAAGGAACCCCATCTGAATCCTGTACCTTTTAGTAAATCGTATTTTTATTTTTAGTGCAGCCTCTGAGTAGGGCATATTCATCCTGTGATCTTCTGTGTGAAGGATCAGTTTCTCACAAGAAAATTTGCTGGTGTAATAGTTTAAACTGCATAACCCGTTAGGTCCTGTCCTTCTAATGAAACCTTAAAGAATTTCTGTGATGGCCTCAAAATAAGAATACCTAGGCTTTCAAAGCAGGAAAAATACAGGATTGACAGAGTCTGGGTTTTCCGACTGGTGGGAGCCAGCATCCCTCAGCAGCCACTTGGGAGAAGCGTCTTCGGGTCGCCGCTGTGGGAAGCTCCCCCTCTTCTTTTTCATCACTCACCTCTTGGAGAAGGAATTTGTGGGCTTGGAATGTTTGCAGGGACTATAAAGATTTTAAGGGCAGGATATTCTAGGAAGAAAAGTTACTTTAAAAAATAAATAAAACCCACTGCCTCATTTCTGCATTTTAGGTGAAGGACAGCATTTATTTCAGAAATTTTTTTTTTCTTTCTTTCTTTTTTTTTTTGAGATCAGCCGCACGGTGCTCAGCCAGTGAATGCACCGGCCATCCCCATACAGGATCCGAACCCGCGGCGGGAGCGCTGCTGCGCTCCCAGTGCCGCACTCTCCCGAGTGCACCACGGGCTTGGCCCTATTTCAGAAATTTTTTTTTTCTTTTTTTTTTTGAGATCAGCCGCACGGTGCTCAGCCAGTGAATGCACCGGCCATCCCCATACAGGATCCGAACCCGCGGCGGGAGCGCTGCTGCGCTCCCAGTGCCGCACTCTCCCGAGTGCACCACGGGCTTGGCCCTATTTCAGAAATTTTTGACACTTTGAAGGAAAATCCTTTCATGGACTTGTTGATTAAGAAAGGTGAAATTTTGTGGGCATGGCCCAGGTGGGAATGGTTTAGAAAAGAACTAAATTGCTCTGCAAGGTAAAGTGAAAGGGAGTTTAGAGTTCCAGCAGTGGTCGTGTGAGGGTATGGGCCCAGAAGCCAGAGAAGATGGGAGCAAGGTCTAGGGAGACAGAAAGAAGCACAGCCAGCTGGTGAGAGGAAGGATCGGAAGAGGGACGGCAGCACTCTTTTATTTTCTTCTGGTAAGGAATTTCTAAAAATTACTTTAAAATAGTTTCCAGGTTTGAGTAGTACTGTGACCCGTCTCTGGCACCCCTAAACCTTTAGTGAAAGTCTGCTATGTAGACACAAAGGTGCCTTGAATGAAGAAAGAGGTCATGTCTGCAGTGGAGGCCACATGGAGGAGGATGGACAGCAGCCTGGGAGGGTGTGTGCTGGGAGTGGGCAGAGAGAGAGAAGCTGGCTGATGAGAAACCCCAGATGAACCCCTGCAGTCTTTGGGGCAGAAATCGTAGAACATCCCACAGAATGAGAGAGGGTGACTTGAGCCACTTAATTTGGAATTAAGGAGAAAGGGAAGGCTAGATAATTCCAACCATGTTTCCTTTCCCACTGAAGACAACTAAAAAAGCTGAATAAGATTGTTTTTTTAAAGCCAGCAAACAAACAAAACAAAACAAGAACAAAAAACAAAAAACAAAAAAAAAAAAAAAAAAAAAAACAAAAAAAAAAAAAAAAAAAAAAACAAAAAAAAAAAAAAAAAAAAAAACAAAAAAAAAAAAAAAAAAAAAAACAAAAAAAAAAAAAAAAAAAAAAACAAAAAAAAAAAAAAAAAAAAAAACAAAAAAAAAAAAAAAAAAAAAAACAAAAAAAAAAAAAAAAAAAAAAACAAAAAAAAAAAAAAAAAAAAGAAAGAAAAAAGAAAAAACAAATTTCCTAAAAGCATTGACCTGCTATCTAGTAAACAAGGACTTCCTGGATCAGAATACTAGGACTGAGAGGGAAGAGCCCAGCACTGAAGCCACTGTTGTCCTTATCTAGAAGAAATCCCACAGTGAGTTGTATTGGCAGCCTCCTGGAGTGAGTGGGTCAGACCCTAGCTTCTCAGGATAGGGAATTAGAGGAGTGCCCATATGCCTTCTGAGACCCAGAAGAGGACATGAGGGCAAAGGGGACATGATACCACCTCACACAGCCTTGCAACCTGCTTCTAGCCACTTGGGAGGACCAGGGTTGCTTGTCAGTTTTGGTAATTCTGTACTAGAGTTCCTCAAAATGCTTGTGAGAAACAAAACAAAATATTTTCTGGAGTGTTACTAGAACTCAGCTTGTTCCTATAAATATTTTCTTTTCTAATAAAATGACCTGCACATTGTCAAAGGTTATTACACATTCATGACTCCTTAAAAGTGAGAACAAACAGATAACAGAAATAGGCCCACAAAATGTTAAGCTTTTGTAATTCTTAGGCACAGACCATGAAACAGTTATTCTTACTATGTTTGAAGAAATAAGAGAAGCTTGAAAATGTCTGCAGGAAGTAGGAAACCATACAAATTTGCATAAGAGATTTGAAAAATGACCAAGTAGGACTTCTGGAATTGAAAAATATGATAACCAAAATTAAGAACTCCATGGACAGGTTTAATAAATTAGACATAGCTCAAGAGAAAATGAGTGAACTGGAAGATGGGTTGGAAGAAAATAGCCATAAAAAAACATGGAAAGTTAAATATTTGGAAAATAAAATAAGAGATATAGAGGGTGTGGTTAGAAAGCCCAATGAGATTTATTTGGAGTCATAGGAGAGGAGAGAGAATGAGTAAGAATTTAAAGAGATAATGACTGAGATCTTTCCAAAACTACTGAAATGCACCAGTACACAGGATCAAGAGGACAGTGAATCCTGAGGAGAATTAATAAAGAGAAAACTGTAAACACATCATAGTAAATTTAGTTAAACTAATTACAGACTGAAATTCTTAAGGCAGTTAAAGAAAAAAGGTAATTTCCTAAGAATGTTTTTTATTTGAGAACTGACTTCTCAACAAAAGTACAAGTGAATCTCTACAATGTGCTGAAGAATCTGTCACCCGAGAATTTATATCCAGCAAAAAATCCTTCAAGAATAAATTTGAAATTCTAGGAATTCTTCTAAATCTGAATTGTTTCACCCTGCCTCCAAGAAAGAAAGCAAATAAAACTGCACATAAACTATGCTTGCAGCATAATGAAGAGATAGCAGTTACTGTGGACTGCAAAGCCTGTCAGGAGGCAAGTCAGCACCAGGCCCAGCCTGGGGGGAAGGTCAGATGGTCTAATGCCACAGTCTGTGGAAGAAGGGAGTGAGTGCTTGGGCAGCTCAGGGAGAGGCGAACCAGATAAAATCACTGCCAGAAACATGAAATCCCATCCTGGATGGGAAAATATTGAGAACAGGTCTGAGATCCAGATCAGAGCACTGGCTACCAGGAGATGGAAAAGGGTCTGTGATTTCCTGGGTGAGTGACAGCTGAGACCTCAGCAGAAACATTTCTAACAATCAGAAACATTTCTAACAATCACTTGCCCCGTGGGAACT